CAGGGTTAATCTCCTAACAGCAAAGACGATGAGTCTTCCCCAAGTTTGTCTTGTTATTAGTCCTTATTTAAAGCTAGTAATAGGCTATTTTGCAATGCTTAAACTTGCTCTTGAACTTTATGTTTGAGGAAGCTTATGTATTTAGACTTGTGAAAACTGAAAAATAATTCGTTTCACACAAACCAACGTGTAAAGCAGGGATATATTTGCACTATGTAAATGAATTGACAAGGAAGGTATGTAATTATATCTAGGTCACCTATTATGAGCTAACATTTCAGAAGTACTTCCGCCTGATCTGTGATAGGCATATTTTCCTTAACAACAGGCCCATAAGTTGATAATCTAATTAAATTATTTATCAAGACTGTGGAACTCAGCATTTTTTTCAAGGTTGCATTAACCATACCTGGATCCCTCTGCCAGTTTAGGACTTCAGAGGAAATGGCTTGTGCCCCATGAGAGATTTTGAATCAGAGGAAACAATGCCACAGGGGTGTGGCTTTGGCAGGCTGTGACTCCCCTGTCAGTCCACAGCTGGATAAACAGAGAGGCATCCAGGTAATATCCAAATGTTCAAGACTGCTTATGCTGAATGTCAAATATTCTCAGTAAGTATTAGGCAGCCTCCATGGCATATACTAGTGCTGCAGAAAGATAATATATTACTTAGAGATTACCTGTATTTTTAATACTGTAAAATTTGGATTGCTGATGTTAAAAAGCATTCCCTATCTTTGTTATAATCACAGAATTGCAGGGCTTGGAAGGGGCTTCAATAGAACATTGAGTCCAACCCTTCTGAAGGTACCCTACAGTAGGTTGCACAGGTAGACATCCACACGAGTCTTGAATATCTCCAGAGAAGGAGACTCCACCACCTCTCTTGGCAACATGTTCCAGTGCTCTGTCACCTTTGCCATAAAGAAATTCTTCTGCGTGTTAGTATGAAACTTCCTATGTTCAAGTTTTAGGCCATTACTCCTTGTGCTATCGCTACACACCACTGAGAAGAGCCTGGCCTCATCCATTTGCCTCTTAGCTTCCTTTAGATATTTATACACATTTATCAGATTCCTCCTCAGTCTTTTTTTTGCCAAGCTGAACAGACCCAGGTTACTCACCCTTTCTTCACATAGGAGGTGCTCCTGAACCTTAATAATCTTTGTAGCCTTCTGCTGGATTCCTTGTAAGAGATCACTCTCTTTTTTTGAACTGGGGAGCCCAGAACTGGACACAGTATTCTAAATATGGCCTTACTAGGACAGAGCAGATGGAGAAAGTAACTTCCCTTGCCATGCTGGCTATGCTTTTTGTAATGCAGTCCAAGATACCATTGGTCTTCTTGGCCGCAGAGTAATACAGCATCCTTAGATTCTGTTCCACTAGTATTCTCACTGGTCTGTTCTGAACACCAAGTTTACACAAGTCTTCCAGAATCGGTCCAACTAGAATCTAGTCAAACGCAAGTCATCTATTCGGCTTAAACGTGCACTATTCTTGTGTTTATACAAATTGCAATATTTTAACTTAGTGTGTTCACCCTATTTGTATGGCTTCAAAGTTTCACACAGAGTCATTATTGCCCCTGCAATAATCATTTATATTATATATTTATTTCAACCAAGCTAACCTCACACTTAGCCAGGCTGAAATTGTACAAGAGCTGCTTCAAAAGTAATGCCTCCTATTTTATTATGTTGGCCCACAATGTCAGAGGTGGATGCTGGTGGTGTCTTTTTCACCAGGCATTTCTCTCTTTTGTTTAAACAAGGATTTCTGAAGAGCTGCATATCAATAGAGTAAACCTAGTGTTTTTCTATGACTCACCAAAAGCACTTAAATTTTATTTTTATTAGCTGGATCAGCAAATCTCTTAGACAGCTAGAGAACATATGAGATAATTTTGGTTAAGGACATTTTACTGCCCTCTTTGCCATTAGATATTTCTGCAGCACCAAAAATCAAATCACACTCAGCCCTAAAGCTGAGTCCCATCTGACATAATAGCTACTAAACTCTAGCCCTTTCTGTATTACATTGACATCAGAGCCACACAGAAGTCACACCAGGGCTTCATACAAGGTTAGAGAGTGCTGAGAATACCCTAGCCTGCTCTATGTAAATGAAGGAAATATTTACTTTCAGATACACGTTATTTTTGATTCACTTAATTCATATGTAACTCCCTGTGTATTTCAGAATGCTAAGAGATTCCTCAAATTCCTGAATCAGTTGGGACCCTGAATCATGCTGGTTTTCAATGGAATTTTATACTTACAAGGCCTTGATGTTTCAATATTTGCTTTCACATCAGAGGAGTTAGGATCTGATATCACTTTGCATACATGAGAGCATGTGAAAATGTTCTCCAGCTGCAGAACCTTTGCTGATCCAAACACAAAAATGTTTCAATAATGCAGTCAACACTGAATTATCTGAAATCCTTATAATGTAATATCTCCTTAACTATTAACCAAACTCTACTCTATAGAGTAATGTCTTATTCCTGGCTATTGTACTACAAGGATGTGAAATGATAGGTTTAACTGAGTTGCTTTAGGAAGGGAACTCCTCCTGTGTTAGATCCACAGAGAGACTTGCAGAAGGCTAGATAAACCTTTCTTCAAACACTATTTCTTCAAACACTATTTGCACCAATTTTTCTACTTTTCCATAATCAATATACTAAGCCTTTTGTGATTGACTGCACTGATTCGTTTCTCAGCTGCTCCCAGCACTGAGTATGAGGTATTCATGTATAACAACTGCTTGGTCAAACTTTGCCATCACAGTTGCCTGATGACAGTTTTGTGCTGCTCTCCTTCTTTTTTTCCCCTTGAACAAGTGAATTTTTTTAAGGGCTGAGTGGAGCTGACCTGAGGCTGCTCCTCTATTCTTGGAATGCCTGAGGACATGTGAAGCAGGGCTTGAACACGAGGGAAGAGTAGCAAAAAGCAGGTTTTGTGTCCTGTATTCAAAGGTTGAAGGTTAGACCAGTCCCACATTCACCCTAAATGACCTTTGGGAGCCAGGGTTACTCATTACATAGTGCTGTCTTGCTACAGTATTTTCATCTTTCAAGTTGTTCTTTCACAGAGATTTCACATGTGCCTCCTTGACACTGCTCAAGTGGCATAAAGAGTTCAGTATAAATGAGAACGTCCCCAGGTGGCCAGAGGGAAATCTCTGGAGACACCATTCATCACATCAGTTTTCTGTGCTATGGCATATGCAGTCTGTTGAAACCTTCACAGTCTCCTCAGAGTTTAACAGGAACTCTAAGCTTGTCTCTTGTGCAGCAAATTACACAAGGTCAGTATATTTCACACTGCTGTGTGATTCCAGAGAACAGAAAAGCATTGCTATAGGCTTGTACTAGCTGTTGACATGAACACATCTCTGGCATAAAGACCTACAAGACAAGGCAATGGAAAGTGTTTCTGACTGTGGTCACCCCAGAAGATGTTGGTAATGCAACACTTCCTCTTTCTGGTTTATCCTGCTCCCAGATCATCACCACCATAGACAGGTGGGATCTCACCATCATATAACCTAGCGTCATGACTTTGGCAACCTGACTAAGAAGCAGAGGGAATGTGGACATTTTATCAGACCCTGTTTAACATCTAAAGCATGGTACAAAGTGTGAAAGTGTTATTTTTACTGAAGACTAAATACTTGTCTTAGCCAAGAATGTTGAGAAATCCTGGTACAACTGAGCCATCAGTGTAGGTGTGATTGCTTAAATTAGGTTGGATCCTGAAGTGGCTGCCTCCCGGGGGTCAGGCTGCAGTGCTGCAAAAATGAATATACAAGACAGAAGAATCTTTGAACAGTCCAGCTACCAGCAGTGGCATTGCTTCATTTTTACGAGTTTTCTATCCTGAAATATCCATGAGGCTGTTTCTGTACAACAAGACCCAGAGAGTAGAAAGAGCAAGGAGACATCCCAGGGCTCTCTGCATTCGTAAAGGATCAGAAGCAGCAGCACCAGAAGGATCAGCGGAGACTCCAGGGCTTCTGCCAATAGTATCTATTTGAGCATATATGTCCATGATGCTCTTCCTCTCCTTGTTTTTGATCACAAGTTGAAAAGTCTTGGAAATACAGCTCAGAAGAGTTGAAGACTCCCAGAAATAAAGGTTCAGAAACCTCCGAAACAAAGAAAGTTGGACATAAACCAAGGAGCTGCGGGAGGGCATGTGTAACTACTGACACTTTATGTCTCTGCCTGTACTTCAAATAAAGGAGATGGAAAATTAAAGAGAAGTAGTCCCTACCCTTAGTTAGGCTATCAAGACTAACAAAACTTGTGTTTTGTGATGTGAGGAATTAGGATTGTATCCCTGGGGTTCAGAGAGGAGTTAATTCTTCTGAGGACAAGTAAAAAGTGATAAATCAAGCATCAATGCCCTAGACTAAAAGAAGGTGCCACAGCACAAAAGCCTGAAAGAAAAGCTAATGGTGGCCTAAAAATAATGTTGAGAAGACTAATAGTTATTATGGCTGGCCCAGGTAGGCAGTTGTTGAGGTTTTATTCCCAAATCACAGAAAACTGCCTTCACTTAGCCCCTGAGCTTTGTTGTGAGAACTGAGAGCTAGAATCAAGGCTGTGGAATCCGCTCAGGAAAATCGCCCAAAAACCTTGTCCTACTGAGCTGGGCAACCTCCTGCAAGAAACAAAAGGGACAGGCCCCAGTGCTTCTAGTGGATTTCAAAGAATAAGTAGAAGAAAGAAAACTCTCCATCCAGATGGAAAATAAATAAATAAATAAATAAACAAATTCCCGCCGCTGGGATAATGATGCCGCCCTGCGGGCGCCCCATCACCGTCGGCCGCACCAATCCCCGGGCAGCCCGATTTGCCGCGGGGCGGGGAGAGCCCTACAAGCGGGGCGGGCAGACTCCGGCCCCGGCCCTGTCCGGCCCTGTGGGCGGCTCTCCCGCCGCTCCCCTCCCGCCGGCCCCCCGCCGGGCGCGGGCTTTAAATGCGGGACGGTGAGGCGCCTGTGGTGTTTCCCGGCACTCCGGCAACCGCTGTCATGGTTGAGGCGTTCTGCGCGACGTGGAAGCTGGCGGACAGCCACAATTTTGACGAGTACATGAAGGCGCTGGGTAGGTGCTACCGGGAGATCCGGAGCCGAGAATATGCATCACAGTGAAATACAAAATAAATCGGAGTCCCACAGAAGAGCTATCGGGGACAACGAGAGCCCCCTGCTCCTTGCCGGGGTTGCCCGGGTAGCTATGCTGGAAGCTCAGTGTCGGGATGGCTGCCCTCAGCCTGCTGCAAGCAGCCCCGGGTCACGGGAGAGCGTGGGATAAGAGCTGAGCTGCTGCAGCTACGCGGCAGACAAATAGAGCTAAGCGCTGTGCCGGGGCATCACCCGGGCGGCCCCGGTCCCGCGGCGTTGCTCGGGCTCCGCGAAGGGTGATCCAGCGCCTCACCCACGTGGAGGGACGGGTGTGCGGGGATGGAAGCGAGACGGGAAGCAGCATCGCACTGCGGCGTCCCAAAGCTGTAGAGCGGGGGAAGAATTGTCTGCGCCTGTGTGTGTGAACGAAAGGGTGTATAAAAAAAAAAAAAAAAAAAAAAAAGCGGGTGATGATTTCTGCTTTTCCCTGGCGGTGTAGGAGTGGGGTTTGCGATGCGGCAGGTGGGGAACGTGACTAAGCCCACGGTGATCATCAGCAGCGAGGGGGACAAAGTCGTGATCAGGACTCAGAGCACTTTCAAAAACACAGAAATCAGCTTTAAACTGGGCGAGGAATTTGATGAAACTACCCCCGACGACAGAAACTGCAAAGTAAGTGACCTCTCGTTCAGAGAATCCCTTCTTTTCTCTCCCTTCCCAGTGGTATCCTTGCACGGTGGGGTGGAAGGGAAAATGTAACTGCTGCCGCAATTGTAGCACTGCGAAGGATGGGGGGGAAAAGACAGGATTGCATTGTATTTGGTGACGTGTGCTGGGTCTTTTTTTGAATCACCGTATTGTGTTTTCAGCCCCATTTCTCCTGTCCAGTGCTGAGGAGTTTTTTTTTTTTCCATTTTTCTTTACTTTTGACACAAAGACCATTTAGTGTGACCCTTTCCAAAATGGAGGAACGCTTCTCCCTCTGTCTTTAGGGGCTCAACATAAATGTTATCCCAAAGCACATCCAAAATGATGGTTCCTGAGAGACTAGAACTCTAAAGAAACAATTTTTTTTTCCCATTTTTTGATACAAACATGAATTGTATAGATCCCATCCTTAAAATAAGGATGATTCATGTACTTTGCTCTGCCTGCCTGGGACCACTTTATTGTTGTAGGTCCACATATCTGTTGAAGAGAATTCCATTGAGAAGTATATGCTTATCCTGTGAGTAGAATTTCAAATATCCCAGGTAAATGAGTGTTTGTATTCTTTAATATCTCACAGTCAGTTGTGACCCTGGATGGAGACAAGCTAGTGCATGTACAGAAATGGGATGGCAAAGAGACAAACTTTGTAAGAGAAATAAAGGATGGCAGAATGGTAATGGTGAGTACAAAAGTCACTGAGCATTCATGTACACCACTAACGCTCCTTCTTCACATTTGCCTCAAGCTTGTGAATTTCACAGGTATCTGTAACACAGAACCAGGGTGAAGCTAGTGGACACTTCTCAGATCATTACTTTTTGTTTGGCATCTTGCTGGAAAATTGCTGATGGCTCTGTGGCTCCAGGCAGGCCAGTCTGTGGGTTCTCGAAGTGCATCCCTTCTAGAGTTCATGGAAATGCCCAAATGAATATATATTGCAAATCACAATTTTAAGACATGCATTTACACGTAACATAATTTCTTTTGAGTTGCGAAATATAATAATCAATAATTTAATATGTAGACAATGCTTTGTTCAGATTTCTTTAATAGCTTATTCCATATATGCACATGTAAATAATAGAGAATTACACAGAACAAGTATTTCTCCAGGAGAATAAAACTTCAGTGCTACAGGAGGTAATAGCTTTTCCTATTTCATACAAAAGGACTTATTCTCCCTTTCTTGTTTAAAAATGCTTAAAATAGCATTTGTACAAAAATAAAAAAAAGTAATTTTTGTTTTAAGTTTGTTCTCTTGCCTAATTTTCAGGAGTAGGAGTATGGGGTGAATAAGTGGCGTAAGTTACTCTAATGTCCAGGCTGGTTTTCATGGCTATGTTTGGTATACAGATGTATCTTGCAGGGGGGGGAAAAAAAAACAAACCACACACAAAAAAAAACCAGAAAAAACTTCAACCACAGTAATGTGTGTAAATTGGCTGTTGTATGAAAACAGTTTGCTTTGTTTTCTAAATACTTCAGAGAACACTCTTGTGGATGGAGAATTCCAAACAACAAAAACTTCTTATGGTCAGTGCAACACAATGTGACAGTGATTCAAGGAAAACTATGTGCTTTGTTTTTTGGGAACATCTACATGCATATGCAGGAAAGCATTTTCTTCAGAATTTGAATGCAGTTGGAGGCAGTATTCCACTTAGTGAAATACTCAAGCTTACATTCTGCAGTCAGTGTTGTACACTACTGTAGAAACCAGAATACTTGGTAGTTTTAGCCACATGAGTGTATAGGGTGCATTTATCTTAGTATGAGATTCTTCTTAAGTGTATGCTTATGTAGAATAACATAGAACATGAAAATAGAGAAGTTAGCTTTAAAATTCTACGTTTTGCAAGTAGATCAGCATTGGCAAAATAAGTATTAAATCTTTTTCAAACCAAAGCTGTGTTTGAGAAATTGTATTCACAAAATTAGAAAGTCATTTATGTCCTTACCTTGGTTGTATTGCAAAAGCGCATTACGAGCTTCTTAGATTTGAAAGCAAGGAGAAAGTTGGATTTATTATGGCACCTACAACTCTGAGATTTCTCTTGTTACTTACTTAAAATATCAGTAATCTCGGCAACTTGTTTATTATGCTATGTAGCTTATAGAGGAATCTTGTTCTTGTACAGAGTTCTTAATGTGTTAGCCGTTACAGAAAATGGTTGAGCATCTAATACTTCTCTTTTCCTTGCAGACCCTTACCTTTGGTGATGTGGTGGCTGTTCGCCACTATGAGAAAGCATAGAGTTCACCTTACCAGATGTTACATCTAGTGGATGGATTAATGTACTGTCCAAAATTGAAAGTAGCTTAAATGTACATTTCTGACATTGAAAGGTTAATAAAGATTTTTTTTTTCTGGGGGGGGCCGGGCGTTTTTTTTTTTTTTAAAGAAACTTTTTGCCATCAAATTGGCAAGCTTTTGCTGTATATTGCAACAAGATAAAATTTGCATAAAAACTCTGAAACGTTTTGGTTTGTTTTTACAGTAAATGAAATATATTTGAGTTGTTTTAGAATGGAGATCCAACAAATTAAAAGATTTTTTAAACTTGTGCTCCTTTTTGTGTTTCTTGGGCCAATAGTCCAGTGTTTTAGAGGGAGCTGCTGTACAAGTTCCTTTTTTCTCAGTTGAACAGCAGAAAAACATAGTCCTTGCTGCCCCAGTGATCTATACTATGTGGAAAATGGAAAAAGTGCCTTCCTACCACTGAAGTGGCTTTTTGCTGAAGAAATCTAAAGCCCTAGTAGGCAAATAGGTGAAAGGCTCAACCCAGTTTCAGCTAGTCTCTTGGATCTTGTGATCTGGGACAGGCTGAGGTCAGCACGTAGATAACCTTTGATATCGTTTTGGTTTTAATAGTTAAGAGAAGTTTGTTTTGTTTCAGCAAAACAAAACACAGCATATATACAAAAGACTGGAGTACATCAGAGTGCAGAGAATCAAGTGTTTCATAGGGTGAGAGGAAAGAACCAACGTGACAGGGTGGGTCTGGGGGAACCACAAGCACAAAGCTTGCCTTTCATCAGTCTCCACAGGGCTGGGAAGAGACAGGGGAAATAATATCAAACAAACCTTTTGGGCTTCTTCCTGTGCTGTAGTTTTACAGCTAATATGTAATGGGTGTAATAATAACATGCACTCTGAACAAAAAGAGAAATTAAAACTTTATCCTGTGTAATATTCCATAACAGATTAGTATGGTGGAAGAGTGCCCTACTTTTCAGCTTATTAGGAACACTGGAATGGGTTGTTGGCATTACAGAGGAGCATAGTTGGAAGATCTCATGTTTTCTAGTGTGCTGACCCATGACCCATTTTGATACGCTGGTACTATACCCTCTCACCCAGGCTGAGGGAGCACAGCACTCAGCTACTTGGGGCTGTGCAGGAGGGGGCCCAGTCTTCCAGGCCTCATCCTGCAACTGTTCTTCTTTTGATCTGCCCCCAGTGTCATGAGAAGTGGCCTCCTGCATCCATGTACAGCATTCTTCCCTTCACTTTTGCTTTTTCAGAAAAGGAAGAACATCAGGGTGTTTATCTCTTATGGAGAGCAGTATAAATGTAGAAGATTGAGTCTTCAACTGTAAACAATCATAAATACATTTTAAATGGTGCATACTGCTAGCTTTTAAAATCTAGGAGATGTCTTCTTTCATCAGAGAAATGAAAACTTGTTTCACTGACATAGGGAGCTTCATTCTCTGTGTTTTGGGCTGCTTCAGGTTTTCTATAGTACATGTACTTGAGCCCTTCTGCCCTTGAGTGTTTTTTGCCCAGTTACATTTCAGTCTCTGTGCCTAATGCTGTTCCCATCCGTCTGCCTGTGCAGCTGCCTCCCAATCCACACGCATTCACTGTGTGACTGCATTCCTGTAGCCCTTGGAGGAAAGCAGGAGCAGCCTTTGTCACAGGTAGTGCAGGGTTCCCCTCAGTAGGATTCATGTTCCTGATGAGTGATGAGACCATGAAGTAAAAACCCACAGTTTTGTCACATTTAGAAAAGGAACAAAGGGAGAGATTGTTGAAACTTGCTTTATACGTTGTTAAAGCTTGGTTTAAACATTTAATGGTGGATATTTTACATTGCTGCCACTTAAAAAAAAAAAAGATGGCTTTTTTTCTGTGTTCTATATGTAACATGTGAAACCATCATTACTGACAAAGTATTTTGCTGTTCTAAGAGGAACAGTGTTAACGCCAAAGTAAATATGGGTAAGAGAAGTGGTGGTTGGGAAGTGCCTGCAGCACTGTGGGAGAGGAAAGACCACGGAAATGCCGAATGAGGGGCCTGCAGCCCTGCCAGCCCTGCCTTTGCCAACACCGGAAAGCAGAGCCAAGCAGAAAGCACTCGCAGTGGGGGACCCTGAGGGGCAGCTGGGGATTCTTGACAGCTATTCTGATTTGCTAACCAAACTGACACTGAGCCATTCACAGGAGGCTGTTCCTTAGCAGATCTTTAACCACGAAGCAACAGGGACTCAGCAGCAACAGGGACAGCTTACAGTACGCCTCAGCACTTTCCTTAATAAAAATAGTACACTTTTAATACTGAAGCTGTATTCCTCGACTTTCTTAGATGTATGTTAAGCAATCAGAAGCAATTTAACGTGTATACTAAAAGAAACCTTCCTTCCGTAAAGATTCTGTGGACATGTTTTAAACTCCTGTATGACTCCCGAGCGCTGCCTGCACACAGGGACGAGGCCTTCCCTAGGGCTGCAGGCATTGTGGGCATGCAGCACCTCGGCCATCAAGGTGTTTCGCTTGACCAGAGCCATCAGGGTGAGGCCAGGCCGTGCTCCTGGAGCAGTGCTTGCTGGCAACGCGGCCAGGCCGGACGCCCCTTTTGGGAATAAAGGAGGCAGCCCTGGACGTCACACCGATTCCCCGGCACCGAGCAGGCAGCTCGGGTTCAGGCGCCGCTCGCACCGGGGCGGAGCGCGGCGGCGGCGGCTTCCGGCGGCCCCGGCCAGGTTGCGAAAGGTTAAGGCTTGCCCGAGCTGTCCCGGGCTTATCCCTTTCCTCCTCTAGGGCTCTCCCGGTACCGCCGAAATGGAGCCGCCGGGGGGACGCGCCGCCCGCCTGGCCCTCGGCCTGGTGCTGCTCTGCTCTGCGCTGCGAGCTGCCGCGGCGGCGCCGGCCGGCCAGGGGCCCCGCTCCGCTGTGGGTGAGTGCGCCTGGAGGGCAGCGGCCGAAGCGGGCGGCGGGAGGGTTACGGGTGAGGGGTGGCCCTGTCCCTGCTGACGGTGCCCGTCAGGGAGCTCGGCTGCCGCCTGTAGGAGCCGGGCACGCCCGCACCTCCTGCCCTGTCCGAAGTCGGGAGTCGTTTTGTGCCTCCCTTCGTGGCTTTACCAAATATAGCTAGCTGCGCTTCTATATCCAACTAGCTGCAATATCGAGTCAGTTTTAAATATGTAATTACGGTGCCGTTCAGGTTACGGAAGGGTTAAATGGGGCCTTTACGTAGCTCTCAGGGTACCTGGCACTCCAGGCAGCGGCGGGTAGGTGAGGTGAGCCCTGCCCTGCCGACGGTGTGTGCGCTGCAAACACTGGCTGTGCGTCTGTGCTGTCACCCGGCAAACACGCCTTGATCGGCCTGACTCCAGCACGGTGACAGACACAGGTGAGTGCTTTGGCACTGGCTCCGCGGGACTTTCAGTTCCTGTGGCCCACAGACACCACAAACCAATGCGGAGCCACGTTCACGTGCTTCTGTGTCTCTCGTGGTGTTGTGGATCTCAGAGGTTACTGCTGAGCTTTGCTTCCTGAAACAAAACTCCACAGGGTCAGCTCGTGTGCTGCCTGCTCTGTCACTGACTGAGAATGTGGCCCTGGGAAAATCAATTGGTGGCAGTCCCAGTTTCACAGCAGGTAACCCAGATACGCGTTCTTTTTCCAAATGCTTTGAAACTGACAGAAAGAAAATATTCATATATTTTACTGAATGTAAAAACTGGCAGTTTCACACAAGCATAGTTCATCATGTTTTTTTTTCCTTCACATGTGGTGCTAAGCACCACTAAGCACCATTCTCAGCAGTGGCTGAGAGTGTGTCAGCCTGAACAGTACTGAGTAGGTAAGGCTTTCTGATAAGGAGCCCAGTCAGTCTGTTGGCAGCTAGGGAGTGCTTAGAAATCCTTGCACTCATGCTGTATTTTCTGCTATTATTTTCTAGATTGTTATACTTTATAGTAACTTCAAGCCAGGCAAGATCTAGGAAAATAAGTAAGATTACAACTACCTCACTTTTTAGTTGGTGTAATTCATAAGTCCCTCTATCACCTCTTCTGCTCTCTACCACTTCCTCAACTATCGAGCTTCCAGATTGTTATAAGTGAAGAGCTTCATGTACCAGCCCATAACAACCTCCAATTTTTATTTTTTTTTTTCTGCTGAATTGCTTAAACCCGTGCTTCTGTTACCATTTTTTTCTAAGCAGATTGTATAAAGGACTCACACCAGGAATGCACCTCTCAAACACATTAACCAGACAGGAAAATTAGCAATTTGTTTTAAAATAGTTCTCCAAAACTTCAAAGAGAAATGGCAGTAGAAAAACTGGAGCAAACTGAGTTACCCATGTGTATCCTGTTCATGTCTGCAAGTTGTAATCATAAAGCCACAAAATCACTACTTTTTTTTTAAAGAAAAAGACTTGCATTTTTCAGAAATCAATGTCAGCAATTCCTGGTGATATTTAGATTCAGCTAATAAGTACTTTTTTTTTTTTTTTTTTTTTTTTTCCTCCAGGCTATATAAGGAATGGTATTCTTGAAAACCTGTTGGAAATAATGCATTTTCTTTAACTTTTGTTTTCTGAAAACAGGGCAGTTCTGGCATATATCTGATCTGCACTTAGATCCAACTTACCACATCACTCCTGATCACACCAAAGTTTGTTCTTCTTCCAAAAAAGGAGCCAATGCCTCTAACCCAGGCCGTTTTGGAGACTTTTTATGTGATTCTCCTTATGAACTTATTTTGTCAGCGTTTACATTCATGAAGGATTCAAAACAGCAGGCTTCATTCATGATTTGGACAGGGTAAGTTTTCAAGTCACTCTACGGAGCAATACTTCACAAATTTGTATTTGCACCAACACATCTCATTTTAGTATCTAAAAAATACTACTTCCTAGAGTCTGTTTTCTTGTCTGATTGGCTAGTAAGTGAATGATTGATTGA